TGTAGGCAAAATAACGTCGCAATTAATAATGTAATCACTGATCAAACATCTAAGATTGCCTAAGCTCATAATTACTAACTCAATCCAACAATAAGATTATGGATGATAACCCGTGGATAAGATGAGTTTGATGTATAGCTTATTCCAAAGTCTTCTAGAGATAGCTGATATAATATACACCTCGATCCAATACGAACATTTTCAATAATCCATGCAATCTCACCACTTCATCAAAAGATAGAATTCTATGTCACATGTATCTGAAATCTTGGAGCATCGAATAAAGTGCGCCATCTTGAAAAAATGGTACATGACTACAAGAATGAAGTCATACTTTCGTAACAGCAAGGAAAATCCTAAAATAAAAACCATGCTCACATGCACCCATATTTGAAGAAGGATAGGAAGTGGGGGTTCAAGGCCAGCCAGTATTTTGTTTGTTGCCCCTCTTTACCATTTGGTAAGTACAACCTTGAGCAATAATATGAGCAACATCTCAATTTGACAAAGCTAATAGATTTAATGTTTAAACAAGGAGATAATCTTCTTATCACGCAAAGAAATGTCCATTCTTTCCTCCAAAATGCAATTCCTAGATGAAAAGATCATGAAGGATTCAAGAATACAAAGATGAAATCCATTGGTATATGTAACATCTCGCACCTAGTAGTCAATGTTAAGCATAGGGTCCTTTTTTTCATTGACTCATAGATTAACCAAAATATAAACAAATGGGATAGTCAGATATCAACTTGTTGAATACAACAACCATTGTATGCATGGTACGTAAAGGTAGGATATCTTACTATACACATCAACCATTTTATTCTCAACACCAACCAACCTTATGTTTTAGGAAAAAGGTGTACTCTTTAAGAAATTATACTTAATGTATCAAGAAAATAGTTTATTTTGGCATTTAGCATTTAGACATATAAAAGCCTCATTATTCAAGCAGATCATGGACTTGAGAAATAATAATGATAATCTCAGAGCGCTTACACAACAACATCAAGCTTTTTTCCCACTACGTGGGGTCGGCTACATGAATCGTTTTTCTCCATTGTCTTATGTTAAAAGTTAAATTCTCATTTAAATTTAATAAAGAAAGATCATTTCTAATATTTTCTAACCATGTCTTTTTAGGTCGACCTCTACCTTTCTTAACATAAGTCAAATCCAATACCTCTACTTTCCTAACCGAGTCATCGAAAGCTGCCATTTTATGTGACCAAACCATCTAAGACGACTCTCTCTAATCTCATCTTCCACTGGCGCTACTCCAACATTTTCGTATATATGCTAATTTAGTATCCTATCTCTAAGGGTAAAGCTACTCATCCACCTAAGCATCCTCATCTCTCAACACTTAACTTAGCATTATGCTTCTATTTTAATGGCCAACATTCGGCACCATAGAGCATTACAGGTCTCACCACCATCTTATAGAATTTTTCCTTAAGTTTGAGGGGGGCTTTTCTATCACAAAACAAGCCCGATGCATTCCTCCTCTTCAACCATCCAACTTAAATTCTGCTGAATATCCCCATCTATTTCACCATCACTCTGAATAATAGATCAAATATATTGAAAACGTGTACTCTTATAAATGACTTGATCGCTCAAAGTCACAATCCCCTCACTAGGTCTATTAATACTAAAATTACACTACATATATTCAGTTTTAGATCTACTCAAGCGAAAACCATTAGACTCTAAAGGATCACCTCCATAATTCAAGTTTACCATCAAATCCCTCTCTAGTCTTATCAACAAGAACAATATCATCAGCAAAAAGCATACACCAAGGTACATCCTCTTGCAAATGTCTAATGAGAACATCCATGACTAAAGAAAAAGGATATGGGCTTAAGCCTGATCCTTGATGTAATCCAACCGAAATAGGAAAATACTTGTTCAAACCACCATCACATAAAATACAAATTCCTTGTAAGGGAATCTTGATGTGTCGCTCAACATATTGCTGAAGTAAGCAAATTAGATGTTCCTCCAGTTTAAGGACATTGCCACCGTTAACGCAAGTAAAGAACTCCTAGAAAATTGAAATGCATCACCAATTTATGTCCATCCACATGATGGTACAACACAATGCATGATAACTAAGCAAGACCCATCCAATAACTCCTCGATTCCACCAAAATCCTTCCAAGGGTCAGTCACAGTACACCTAATTTTCTCCTTGATCATAAGACTGATCAAGATCATGACTGATCTAAGGATATATGAAGGGGCACGTGCCTATGGTATAGAACGAGGTGAAGCCATCATAATGGCCCATAAGTTGATTGTCCGTAGGGGTGGTCGATAAGGTACATCATCCAGATCAAGGTAATCATAATAATTGTCCAAATGTTCATCTTGACTTTCTTGAATCGTAAGAGAGGGAGGGGAGGACGTGGAGAGTTTGGTTTGGACGATGAATTTTATCATTATCCTCATTGGGTGCTGACAATGACGTATTAACTTTGAGTTAAAGCCTAGAAAGCCCATTTTTAAGGTGCTCAAAAGATCTGACTCCTAATCGAAGAAGGGTCATTTCCTCTTGTTTTTTGTGAATAGATGAGGATGGCATCATGCCTATAGTCCATGGAGCAACCAACTACCTTCATATGAATGACCGCTATAAGTTGTCATTAGGAGAGCAAACTAGCAAAGGGTTACGAACAACAAATGTAGACCTAAGGATAACAATTAACAACAAGGACAACAAATTAGAATTAGATTTATGGGTGCAAGCTTGATAAGCATAGGAGTTGGCAATTAGGTCAATTAAAAAAAAACTTAAATAATCAAAACAAGTATACAGGAATTTTAATTTCAACAAGGTGAATGCAAGCTTATTCCTTTAAAAAGATGCAAATGTAATGAAAGTTTAAACAAACTAGTAGCAAAGTAAAGAACCTAATTAAGAATTAATCAATGGAAACTAATTTGATTTTGATAAGCACTAACCAAAAGTTAAGAACACAACAAAACCTAAACGATAAGTTCCAATGCAAGAAATGCAAATGGAGAAAACAACTATATCAAATTAAATATTTTTTAGGAACCAAAGAAAAGAACAACATAAAATAAAATGCATGATGATATGAAAACTCTATTTTAAAATGTTGAAATGAAATCTTCACCATTCCTTTCAATTGAAACCAACTAAATGTATGAATAGCTAGTAGTTAAAGATTCACAAAAGGCTATAAATTTAACACTATAAATTTAACAACAGTTATATATTTTGTATTTTGTGAAATCAATGGTGACAAACTAAGAGAAGAAAGAATGATGATACTATTCGAGTAGCTTATGGTGGAGACTCAACCAACTGAGAATAAGTAAAAATGATGTTGAGGATAAACTACATGAGCAATCACTCGCCTAGAATATCACCTTCCTTCCACCATATTCCTCCAAGGGAGCACACTCACAATCAAATTTTTCTCACTTGAAGATGGAAGGGCACAAAGAAAATTTAACTCAACCAATATTTCATCCATTGAACCATCAGCATATGAACCCATACATGGGTATTTATCATAAAAGAAAATATCAAGGCAGGGGGATGACTAAATAAAGGTTTTGAGAAAGAAACGAGAAATAATTGTGGTGGGGTATTTGAAGAGGAACATGTAGGTTCCAGGAAGGCACTTAAGGCTCACTTAACTACTTTATGTTTTCTGGTGCGAAGGAATTAGCGGCATTTATGAGCAAGGGGAATGAGAGCTAGCAGTCGGATAAGAAGAAGAAGTTAGATTTGCTTAGATATTGTGACACATACAAAGTTCACATCATATATGAAATCTTCACAATACAAAACTCACTCACAATAAAATGCAATGTAGAGATCTTTGAAATAAAATCCTAATAACTATAATGGTAGTGATGATGATAATACTCGATATCACCTTAAGACAACTTGCATCAAATTCGAATTTAGGCTATCCTTTCATAAACATTCCAGCGATGCACAATATAAAGAACAAATTGCCCCCTCTTGTTATTTTCCTTGAACTAATATCATGCATCATTAGCCCAATAAGCAAAAAGCAGTTATCTTTTGCGACACTCATTAACAGGCACATTCGGTGCTTCCTTCTTACTTGAGACAAACTGCATTACCATCCATTACATGAAGTTAGCAAAATAAAAAAGTGCAATTTACATTTCTTACATCAAAGTTTGGAAAGTCAGTCTGTTTTGCAAGTGTTGGCTCAAGAAAAATGGCACGAATGCACGAATCCCGCTTTGTAGCCGTAGGATTCCACTTCCCTTAAGTCAGATTGAAA